GGAATAAGAACCGGGAAAACAGAGTTGAAAGAAAGGGAAGGGCGAAGATACTGACACACGGGTATAAACGCGGGTATTTTGGAATGAGTTCAACAAACACAAATTTCACGCACTAAGTTAATAAAAAACTAAAAAATAAAGAAGCACTCAAATGCGAGATCACGTAAAGTGAAGGAAAGTACCGTTTCGTTTTCCTGTCGGAGAGCTGCTAAGAGTTTATCCTTGGTGACGATTTGTTCGGACTGTTGTTGAATCAAATCGAGATGAAGAAGCAAAAGTTCCTTGAGATGTTTGACTTCTGTGAGATCGTTTTGACGTGGTTCATTACCTCGAAGAGGACTGACACCAAGAGCAGAGGTAGCAGTGGCTGCTGCCGGAGCTCCGCTGTCTGTCATGCTGGCGTACATGTGATCGAAATCACAGGGAAAACTGAGTATACCAGCGGCTGGTTTACCATCCTCGTCAACATTTTGAAATTCATTGTGAGAGCAACTGTTATTCTGATTTACAACAGAATTAACAGTGGTACTGGTCGTCGAGACCGTGTTACTTCGAACGCCGCTAGTCGCCGACGTGGTAGACAAGTGTTCGTTCATCGCCGCGACCATGTTGTCGTCGTCCTCCTCGTTATCTTCTTCCTCGTCTTCTTCGTAACAAGGAGCAGAAACGGTCGTAGTTGTTCGATCGTCGTGCTCAATGATGGTGATGGTGGTGGTGGTGGTAGTGGTGGTAGTGGTAGTGGTGGTGAGATTGACGATTGGCGTCTCGATACACGTTCCCGTGTACGGCTCTTGGATTTCAGTTTCGTTGTATTCCGTTCTCAGATTCACATCTCTTTCATCGCGTATATCTTCGTGATTTTCTGGTGTCTTGAGATCGGAATTAACGTCACAAAACTCCACGCCGACGACGCCCTCGGCGGTCAAGCCGGTAACACAGACACCGCTATTACTACCACTGTCACCGTTATCACTACTGGTGAAACAACCACTACCACCATTACCACAGCCACTACCACTACCGCTCTCACTAGTAGTACTAGAAGCAGTAGTACCAGCACCAACAACAGCACCAGCACCAGCAACAGTAACAATAGTAGTAGCGTTACTAGTATCACCAGTAAGAACAACTATGGAAGAGCCAGTGCTGCCAGCAGCGCCGCTCTCGTTTTCTTTCCTGTTCCCGTACTCGTACCCGTGAACGTTCTTCTTCTTATTCTCACCGTTCACGAGTTTCGAGGCCGAGCCACTCGACATCTTCCCTCTCTACCACCCTCGCCGTGGCTTCCCACTTCTTCATTTGTGGCCGCCTCGAGCGTACCACGCGCCCGCACCGCGCACATTAAGCGTCTTGACAATACCTTCACCGACGATGCCTTCACCGCCGCTCTCTACCCCCGTCACATATCATCACCCTTCACCGATACCTTACACGATTAACTTTGCAAACACTTCGTTTTAAAAGATGTCGTTTCTCAATTTTTTTGTGTTTGAATACAGTCGTTACCAAGTATCTGCCAGTGGCAGCGCACGAGGTGCTTGTCGTCCAAGATCGTACTTGTGTGTTTACTCTGACGAACGATGCGAGCCGCGCGCGGCGTTTCTCTGCCTCGTAGCATCCTAAACTGCCGACATCTCGCGGTAGCACGTACGAACCTTGTCGTTCCATTTACTTTTTCCATCGATCAGACACTTCGGCATCGACAAGTGTCAATGAATGCAAGCACAGACGATGCAAGCCTCACTTTTCGTTCTTTAGTCTCGTGTATATTCGATGCAACTTACTCGTGATAATGAAAATAAGCGCATGCGCTGTAAATATCGCTGCGTCTTTTCATACAGTACTGTATATACTTGAAAAATGTACCGGTGTTTTCCACGTTTCAACAGTTGAAAATATATGTAAGTATAGCGAGCAACAGTAAAATGATAATAAAATTAAAGCTTCTTCTAATTTCGCATGATAATTATGTGTAACTTAATAGATTTAATTGCAATTACATAAATTTTACTTAATTTATGAATTTGTTCTATTTAGTCGTTTTTCGTCATTTTATTATAATTAATATATCGCACTTGTACCTTTTCTTTTCCAGTTCATAATATAATAACAACGATACAATAATTTATGTCGTTACTGAATCCCTCACTAGAACTTTAATACAAAGTTACTTTTTAATATATTATTTTCTTTTTTATGAATAAGAATAGTTTCGAAAGTTTTGAACATTTAATAAAATGAAAAAACTTTTCGTATCGTAATAACATTTAATGGCAATACTATTTTCTATTAAATTATTTGGCATCAGCTTTGCCAATTACGCGATAATTTTAGAAAATTTTCGATAATGTAGAGATGCGTCATTGAAAACTATTTATTTTTGAATATTTATTTTCGTATTGTGTATGCATATATGATGATGCACGTATAATGAAGCAGAAAAAGTTACATATATGAACCGCAGCTTCGTAATCGATAAATTTAGAAAAAAATAAATTTACTTTTAAAAATCTTCGTTGAACTATATTTTGGCGTCAAGTATCTAAAAATATGTATCATAATTGATATGCCCAGATCTATAAATTTGATCGCCTTTTATTCGGGTTCATTTGACCTATAAATGATTAATATGTTCAATTATAAATGTTCAATTATGATTAATTAATCCGTACTCCATAATCAGTAATGTCACATAAAATTTTTATTACGATTATTTGTATATTGGCATCAAAAGTTACAGTCTATAATGCGTTACATGTTTTTTTAATGTTTTATAATAAATCGTGGAGCTGATGATATGATGTAGAGATGTTTTAAATAATTATCATGATTTGGCGAAGGGATGGATTTCTAATGTGTGCCTAAATAATAGTAACAATATCGCGCAATATTTACGAATTATTCTGTTACATCTTACAGTTATATTGTATCAATTCTTTACAAAAAAAAAAAGAAACAAAAAGAACAAAAAAAGGAAATAAAAATAATTGATACAAGTTTTACGTATAAAAGAAGAAGCTAACACTAAATGCTATAATTGTACCGCAAAAACTTACATGATATAACTGATGAATAAAAATTCGAGACTTAATTACAAACATGTTGCGTTATACTTATTTTTCATGTAATTCGGTGTTTTTATAACGCTAAACATACATGTAAAACTTTAATATAGAAGTTTTGAGTTTAAATATTAAATATACATGGATAATTTATTGCCTGTTATAAATTTATTTTTAAATATACTAAAAACATAATTCATATACGTCAACTAAGCGAAGAGTTATTACGCTTTTAAATTTATATATTTATGTTTACGTATTTTATTTTTTTTTTTGTACTTAATTGACGTTTATGAATGTTAGTCGAATCCTGAAGGATCTACACGTTATAACAAAATCTTTAAATTTGTATGTTATAAATGATAAAATAGGCTTCTTGTTATTTACCCAAGCCTCTGACACTGAAATATTTCGATAAAATTTTCAAGTTAAACAAACTAGATTTTTAGGTATATTTAGTAAACAAAAATCATTTTCCGCTGTTGTATACATCATTATTATGTCTACTTGCAATCAACTATAGTGTAGCATGTCGGTGTGCCTTGCAGTTACCAAGTGATTTAGTACCTAAATATCTAATAACTTTTTGTTTATCTTACAATTATTGAAATTATTACTTTGTTCTAATTGTTTGTTATTTTATTTGTTAAACTGATGTAACCCAGTATTTCGCGAACTTATATATTACATAACAACGTTATAAATATAATTTATTAAATATACCTACAAAATATGCTCAAAATATAAAATTATTCATTTTCGACATTTTTTGTTCCGCGCGAATCTTTGTAAGCTAAACTATTTTTAAAAGTATTACTTATCTAACTGATATGTTAGATTTAGATATAAGTCCAGTGTGATCTAAAGTTATATCTTACAACAATTTTCGTTTCACTTACAGAGTTTCTACGCGTTTAACCATCTGCAAATAAAAAATCACTAATGATTATTGAATATATTTGTTTGTAGTATTCACTGGCACACCGTGAAAATACGGGTATTCAGATAAATTTAGCATTAAAATATAGCTACGTTTGAGTATTATTTGGATTTAAGGATGTACTTGATAAGAAATTATACTGTTGATTTATGATTTACAGCGGAACGTTACCTAATTTTTCTAAGTTACATATACGATATTTCAACATGATTTTTGGTTATCATTCATATTAATTAAATATCTAATAAATATAATAATAATGATATACAGATTTAAACATTCACTAGTTACATGCATGCATAAATATTATTCTTTTTTACGCTATATGATACTATCCTACGTATATTTTTATGTATAAATGTAACAGTACTTTGACTTTCCCTCATTTTAATAAAATTGCTATTTCTTGTAACATGTACAACAGAATTCAGAAAAGTTTATATAAATGTAAACATGCAACGAACAAAATTGACAAAATTTTTCAAATATACAATTTACAGTAGTACATTTCTTCGAGAACGATTCTTACAAGTTCCAACAGTTTCACGTTACATTTGTCTCATATCAGGTATATATTGACATTTATAAATACTTTAGAAAACTTTAATGTGAAACGAATTTTGATTAAAAATTTTTGAAAACTTCATATATAACTTATGTTGAATTAAATCTCTATTAAAAATATAGTTCTTCTTTGACGTATCGTGTATATTAATTTTAGTACAATTTTCCAAAGGTTATTTCAATGCAACAATATCGTATCGTTTTATGACTAGAGTAATAATATTTAGTATCAATATAATTAAATAATATCGTATCTTCACTCTTTTTGAAAGTAAATTAACGTCTTAGTAAGTGTAAAAATGAATATTTGTCGTCTAATGTTCTCAATCATACTTAAGGAACTGCAAATTAAAATATTTTCTCCGTTTATACATCATTTTAACATTAATTTCTTCTTTTATATAGTGCTTTTCAATTTTTCATAAAAATATATTTTATAAATAAAATATTTGTCCCTTTATGGTTGAGCTTCATTTAATTCCCTAAAACTAAATTCGTTTAATTCCTTAAAACCTTATTATTAATTTCGTTCGATGTTTGTCTACAAAGAGAAAAACAGAAAATTAAAAAGAAACGAGCAAATTTGTTAAGATTAATACCGAGCTTCCTTGTTTATGATCTGATACTATTTTCTCGTATGTCGCTATAAGTTCATTGTGCCGGTAATAATAGGAACTAAATTTAAGCTTAATTCAAAGTCAAATTTCTTAAAAAATATACGCGACTTGACAACGTCTAGACTATATATGAAATTAAAATAAATTTCTCGCTTTCTATATTCTTTTGATTTGTTACAAAGTAAAAGCACATTTTTTCGTGTTAATGTTTCATTAAACAATCTGTGTAGATAATGTTTATGAAAACGCAGTGACGTTATACATATTAAACATGGATGTATTCGTTATAGTCAAGTCACGAATTCTTTAAAGAAATTCGCATCTACGTTCGATTCATTCATCTCTGCAAACGTTCCTTTAAAAATAAGTATTGTAATTATTTCTTAAGCGCAATAGCAATATAGGAATTCTTACTGGTACGATATTTGTCGAAACATGCTACTAATCTCCTCCATCGTTTTGTTCTTCGTCTCTGGTACTTTCTTGTAAATGAAGAAAACAAAGAATGCTTGTAATGCAGCGAAAATGATGAATACATAAGCACCTAGTGCCTCTTGTAATGGTAGGAATCCAATACTGACGATAAAATTTGCTGTCCAATTGACAGCGATGGCAACAGACGTCGCCGCAGGTCTCGCAGATTGATTAAACAATTCGGACACTAAAAACCAAGGGATACTACCTGGTCCAGTCGCAAATAGGACTACAAACATGATTACTAATACAATCGAGAAATAAGCTGCTGTACGAGATGTATCCTAAAAAAGAAAAAGTTTTGTATGTTATGAATATAACCACTAATAGTTTTAAAGAAAAAATGGATATGATAGTATTAAATTCATTCATGATAGTATACTCACTGCGAAAGCAAGACAAATCGAGAGTAAGGCGGTATCGATAAACATTCCAGTGAACCCAATCAACATTAAAGTTTTTCTTCCAGTTCGTTCAACGAGTATCAAAGATATAAAAGTCATAAGAACATTCATTGCTCCGACGCCCATTGTTGCATTTTGAGCTGCATTTTTATCCAACTGTGCCATCGTAAAGATCTTTGTCGAAAAGAACATCACGGCATTTATACCGGACAATTGTTGGGCGAACATAACCATAAGAGCAATTATCAATGGAATTCGAAGAGCAGGATTTATAAATAGTTCCCTCAATGTGACCTTTGGCACAAGTTTAACCGATTCATATTCCGCCTTCATTTCACCCATTTCATCGTGAACTTCAATTGTGCCACGCAACCAGGACAAAGCTACGAACAACAAAGTCGTTTCGTTATCGACAAACATTTTATATAGATGCAATTGCAGAATTCGGTTAACAAGGATAATTGATAAATGTGACTCAACTTCGTATCGCAAGACATAAATCATTACGAGGATTTTACATCTCCTATCTTAAAACCATATATGACATTAAGATACGGTAATTCTCAATATATACTGAAACATACCTTTCTGAGCTTCCATATCCTTTCCTTTACTCAGTAACAAATATTTCGGACTTTCAGGGCACATTGGCAGAGTAATTACTTGGAAGATTGCAGGAACAATCGTCAGACATAAAAGAAGCGGCCATTGGTCACCCGTACCCAAAATTTGTTCTAATCCAAGAATCTGTGATACCAGAATAGACATAGTGATAACCAGCTGATAAACCGTACCAACGGCTCCACGTAGATGAATAGGTGATATTTCAGATAAATACATGGGCGCTAGACCAGCATTTAATCCTGCATTGATACCGATTAGAAATCTTCCGATGATTATCATCTCGTAACTTCCCGCTGATTTGGCGCAGCCCTCGAGAATTACTGTGAGGAGGACCAGGATGTTGTTCAGTAATAAACCACCCTTCCTACCAAAACGATCGGCAATCGAACCCACCATAGAACCACCGATCATTCCACCTACGCAGAATATTGACACCGCTATCGACCATATCATCGTTACTTCTGACTGTTTTGTTGGTTGACCAGTACGGTTCATTTTCAGGTCACGGATCCAGTCCTCGATGAGCTGTAAACATACATCGATATCATATAGCTATATCATTCTTTTCTTCCGTTCCAACTTATTTTATCACTTATATCTGCCATTTAGTATACATATATTCGATCGGTTGATTCACTGATTTAATTATTTGCAGGCATTTGAATATTTAATTCGCAGTTAAAGCACAGGAATTACGATTTCACCCGTTATATGTATTCGATATTGAGCAATTTATGAAAATGAATTTAACATGTAAAAATTACATAGATACATACAAAACTCACGATAACTTGAAAAAAGTATTATGTAACCAAATGCCTAATTAATGATGTTACCTATTTACATAAAGTTTGTATAACGTTAAGAATAAAAAAATATTGAAAGAATTTAGGGTAACTTTAGTTATATTATCAAAGCAACGATTTAATTATTAAGACGTAAATATTAACTATTGGCCAACCTTATAATAGCCAGTTACCTGGAATAAGTAACAGTTTGATTTAATAATTCGTAAATAAAAATGATGTTAAAATAAGCTTGTATCTGTGTACTGTGTACGTTAAAAATGCTGACAATGTGTCTTATGAAATACCTGCTGAGGTGCATTAACGACACCAGTGTTATACCCATGTTGAAACGATGATCCAAGTGCAGCAGCAGCAATAGCAAATGCTAGCCGTCCATTTAGACCCTGCAATAAAAATAATTGTTACTTAATTCTACCTTTATTTATTGACAGACATAACACTATAAACATGTTAGAAAAGTTTATTTTCTAACTCGATTACCAAAAATAATATTTCATTGTAAATAAATTATTGAAATAAAAATGTCAATAAAAATTTCAATAACATATTTATATTTATATACTCGTATACGTATTTCTTATTACTGCAAATTATTTTCTATTATCTATTATTACCAATTTCGTAAAATAATTATCACATAATATCTTTAAAATAAGCTCCGATTGTTTTTTTTTTTTCAATAATATCCATTTTTTCAATCGGATAATTAAATTGATAAAAATTTTTGAACATAAAAATATGCTATATTATAGACAAGATTACGTTGATACTAGAATTACTTTAAAGAAAGTTTGCTTATTTTAAAAGTTCGTTTGTCTTCCTGTTTTATTTGTTATTTATAACAAAGAAAAAAAAAAAAAAAGAAAGGAGAAAAACAGCAAAAAATACTTATAGCTCAATTTTGTTTTTCGAATCCTACCATTCTTCCAAAATGGGGTGGTAATTTGAATCCAACTGTTTTCAAAGTCATGGAGGAATTGTGACAGATTCGACGGACGAATTAAATAGAACTATGCCAACAGCAGAACCGATTAAAACAGTTTCAACTTGGTCGTTTATGCAAAATATGTCTCCGGTGTTTTCAAGCACGTGTCAAAGAGTACTCTGCAGGTCGGTTACCCCCGCCACGCATTTTTATACCGTTCCTGTCCATGACACTACTACACTAAACAAACTACATATTATACATGACACGCACACGTATCTCAAGGTAGCGTACCAGCCAGTGATTCTCAAATCAACCGAAACTCGGATTATCAAATTTATTTCAATAAGCTTAAAAAATGTATTTAATTATTTAGATATGTACATTTATGCTTAGCTATGCTTTATTATATATTTTCATATTTATTATCTTTTTTAGCGTAGTAGTAATTTACAATATTATTTATTCAAAAATTTAATTTATGGTGCACATGTTACAAGATACGGATTATATTATATATGCTTATATATAATACAGTTAATTTATGAACTGAGTATGTATCGGACTGGAAATTCGTATTTATCGTATTTAGAAAAAGCGATAAGCCGAAAATGAATATTTGACAAGAGAACATCTATAGAGTCTTTGATAAAAATATACTCACGCGATTGAGTTTTTTATTTTTCTTGCATATTACGAATCACATTTAAGATGGTCTCAGTTAAGCCTGCTGCACGAGATCATTGTCAAGGCTCATTTTTATTGTTTTCTTTTACCGTGTCTTTAACCGATTACTGAATCAACTAGTATTCGGAATGTAGCCAAGATTTTAGTGCGATCAGTCCAAAAAGTAAAACTTCGAGCAAAAAGCAGAAACTTTGAACTGTATAACGGGAGGACAAAAAAAAAACAGAGAAAACCAATAGTTTACATTTCTTCAATACCCAACGAATTTACGTCGAAGAATTTAAAATTTTTCTGAAAAATTCGACATCAACTGACCTTGCTTTGATACATTAAATATTTTATCGCGATGTAAAAATAACTTATCTTGTATTTGATTCGATCGAATTCACTAAGATTTCACTTCACGAAAGCGACACCACCAACAGCGCTGCGAATGAAATTGCTTTGTAAGCGTATTTTACACATTATTATAGTTGTATATTTATTTGCATTCAAATACGAGACTATTAGTTTCAAAGTGCATTAGACGTATTTAAAATATGGTTGTTGCGTATATCAAAGATTATAACAATAACGAAATTCCATTCCATTATAATATCAGACTGGTAATTCTGAGACGAATTCATTAGAAGTTACGAATGAGCGAAAATTTCCCGCACTTCAAACCTTCTTTGGCGATTGGACGAGCCAGAGGTGTGTCGATCGTAAGCAATGCTGATTGGTCTAAGCCGCCAAGCCTCTTTTACACCGAACTGGTGGTAAATTCGAGCGTTCTAATTATAGCCTCCACATAACACGGACGCAAACATTTTATCAAAACTTTCAAGCTATCAATTAGTTCGATGACCACGAATATGCACTAAAAGTTTTGAGATTCTTAATACATTTCCTTTCTTAACAGCAATCACGTAACTGCATTTATACCCTATAATTTTTCTATATCCAATCGAGCTTATCTTAGTTTTAATCACACTATTCTACCATGAAATATTAGCAATAATACAAATAAATAATACTAAATTTTTACGTAAAAGTTCTTCAAATTTCCACTAGGTTTTATCACTATCTCGTAAACCGAAGAAAAAGTAAAACATTTTAAGTCGTTAGTTTAAATAGAAAAAGAAAATTAGACATTAATTATTTATGGTACGCCAATCGTGCGACAAACTTTCCCCACCAAACATAAAAAATAACGTTGTTTTTTCTCTAGTAAAAATAAAAATAAATATTCTCTCAAATAAAAATAACTCTGGATAGTACGTCAGACACTTTGGTTCTTAACTAGCTTGTTCAACGAACGAATTCGATTCTTTATATATTGACGATATTGCTTTAGAAATCGAACTTTCAAACTCTCTAAAACACAATTTCTTGTACAAATTATGATCTTAAAAAAAAAAAAAAAAAAAAAAAAAAAAAAAAAA